AAAGAGCAGAGTGGAAGTGTGTGTGTGTGTGTGTGTGTGTGTGAGACACTGTGTGTGTATGCGTGTGGTTCGTTAACAGAGTACTACAAACCCTGCTGTCACTGACAAAGCTTCACTATTCCTCTTTGTACACTACCTTAAATGGTGAGTACAGCACATAAAAACGTTTGCTTTAATGAGACAATATTGCATTTTTGAACTGAACTGAACTGAACTGGCTTTGCAAGTAGTTTTTACAAAAAAAAGTTTCACCAATGTACCATTGTGTGTGTGTGTGTGTGTGTGTGTGTGTGTGTGTGTGTGTGTTCAGTGTACAGTGTGTGTACAAGCGTGCATGTGTTTGTAAGCTAGTTATTTATAGTTGGAGCTAATGTTGTGAGGCTCCATCCCCAGAGATCCCCAATTATCAAGGAATTTAGAAAGCAAAAGCTAAACCAAAACAGTCTAAAACAGGGCTAAGAATAGACTGACCTTAGACATAATCCATTCTCCCACCATAAATGTAGTCATATCACTGCAAGACAGGGTAAAGAGCACACACACACACACACACACACACACACACACACACACACATACAGACACACATACAGACACTGAGGCTCTTCTCTCTCCAGGAATGCTTTTAGAGTGTTGAGAGCAGACACCGTGTGTAGGCAGATGTCTCTACGGTAATAGTGGAAACTATCATAAATTCTAGATCTTGATTTGTGTGCTAACACTCCAAGAGGTTCTCTATAACAGTGATAAATCACATAGCAATATCTGTGTCCTGCATAGGAGGGATTGGAAACAACTTGTTATACAACTGCATATCGAGTGAGCCTAGACAATGAAGTGATGTGTGATTTGCATTTGATTTGTGTTGTAATTCTGTTGTGTTTCATTCTGTACACACGACAACTATTGCACTTCTGTCCATCCTGGGAGAGGGATCCCTCCTCTGTTACTCTCCCTACGGGTTCTTCTTTCTTTTCTCCCCCTTAAAGGGTTTTTTTGGGGGGAGTTGTTCCTTTACTGATGTGAGGGTCCCGGGACAGAGGATGTCGCATGTGTACAGATTGTAAAGCCCTCTGAGGCAAATTTGTGATTTTGGGCATTGCAAAATAACTTAAACTTAAACTTAATAATTAAATTGACAACGGGTTTATAAAAACAAGTTCCCAGAGAGCTACAACATTGTATTTTGTTCAGAAAAATAGTACATGAATACTCAAATTATTGTGTGTGTGTGTGTGTGTGTGTGTGTGTGTGTGTGTGTATGTGTGTAATGCTGTGGACTCATCATGTCTGAATGCAACACTCTACTAAACTCTAAACAATACTAAAACAATACTCTTTATCTAATTATCTCTATGATAACAGTAAAACGGTACAATGGTGAAGGAAGAGTTAGAAATCAACCTCATAGACAGCTCAACTCCACAAATAGCAGAAATGCGTTTATGAAACATATTGAAATTGTCAGAATTCGGAGCTGGAACGAGATTTGAGTTCATGGTGAGATAGAATTTGCATGTCACACTGAAGTCACCTCCAGTAAACCCTCAATCTCTACTGGCTTCAACAACATTCAGCATAACATCTGAAAATGGGAATAAATTAAAGGGAGTTGCAAGATTTTAAACGCTCCACTCGCAAATATATCAGTCATAAAAAGAGAAAAACATAAACAAAGTAGCGAGGCCGACTGATGGAAGTGACGGTCATTGAAATTTTAAGAGGCTCACTCACGCAGGTCTAGTGCGCCTGCCTCACAGCCACTCCATTTCCTTTGCTGCTGTGAACTCCAGACAGAGCTGGGCCTTTGATCCTTGAAGGACAGCAGGCAGCTCAGGCTGTAAAACCAAACTACCTGCACGCACACACATGCAGATGCTCACAAACACAAACAAGTTCAAGCATTCAAGTCATGGCATGCTAGTAGCCCATTGAAGTAGCCTTAGAATGCTATTATTATGCATTACTGTGCAATATCACTTATATTACACTAAAAAGTAAAACTACTACAGTACCAACACTAATACAACAACTACTACCAATGACACTAATAACTATTATTATTATAAAAAGAAAAGGATGAAATAAGAAGACATGGCAAATAAACAAAAAAGCAAGAAACAAGAACAGTGTCTCCAGATGTGTTTTGAAATCCAATATAAATGAGAGTAAGTAAAATCATTTTACAATCTCACAGCCCCGATGGCAAAAACATGAATGGGTTGGACAGAATACAACACTAAGATAAATGTGACAAGCAAAATAGGAGACTACTTTGGCAATGAATGCTTGGGAAAACCAGTTCCTGTAGTGTAACAAAGATAATTGATTCGTTCAGTGGATAAAAACTGGTCTGATGGGCTGTAAGTCAAAGCAAAGGTCGCATATAAGCACAAATATCTTTCAAGAACAAAGGGAGAGCACAACACCTAAAAATTCTGAAGAGAGTTTGAAGTCTGCCGTTTTGTCATCATAAAAGGTCAATGTTGGTGTACTTAACCTGTGAACTCAGGGCTCTACAAAAAAAACTCTACAAAGAGGTACATTTAACTGCTGCCATCAATTTTCACAAAAGGGGTTCCAGCTGAATGCTCTTGGACTTTTCCGCTACCTAAAATGTATCCTTTACATTTCCACATGTCAGTTACAGCAGCAAAGTTGTTAAACATCTCCAAGCAGCCTCTGAGATAGACATGTCTTCCCAGCATGCTCTGGGTCAGCTTCAGGGGTCCAAACTGCTGTTTAGCGCATAGCTGGGGGATTATGTGTATCCCTAAATCCCCCCCCCCCCATAACTCTCACTTTAGGGCCTGTGTCCGGATAGCGTCTTTTACTGCCAGAAAAGCGCCCGAGTGTTTTTAAAAATGCTTCTATGTCACCAATATCTTGACAATAATAACACCACTCTAACCAACATCGTATGATAGACTTCCATCGCTTATTTGCTTTTTATTATCTATATTAGCTACTATCTATTGGTTTGACATTGTTTTTTTACCATGAGCACCAAAGGGAGGATGCGTGCTTCATACTTTATATGGATGAACTTGTCACCACTCAATCCGACAGTCGTAATTTTAGAGCAAGGAGGACGATCTTATAGACAACATGTACGGCGACTAAAGAACAACATTCACGAGCAATAATCTGTGTCCATTGGGCCGATCTGCTCCCACAAATAGACTTTTCGGTCTTTGTTATGATAGTGTCTGTCTGACATATAAAGTTCAGGATGGACATGACACGGACAAAACAAGCGTTTCTTCCATTTTCTACAGTGACGTCAACATTGCTGTTCTGAAAAGTTCAGAGATTTTCAACTTGAAGCGCTCGGAGCAGCTGCACAAAAAAGGCGGCGTGCTGAGAAAGAAATGATGCTGGGTGCAGCGACTTTTCTCGAGGCGGCCGCATATGCTCTTTCCTCATTGGGAACAATTCAAAAAAAACGTCAGGAACAGGCCTTTAGGCATCTCTGGAAAAGGACAGAATACAGATCCTATCCAGGTGGTTGGTTCCTCAGCTTGTGCTGTGCGTTAATGTGAGGCCTATGACATCTCGGTATCTCCTGCACTGGCTCCAGTTCCTTCCCACCATGGAAGTGACATGAAGCCTCCAAGGGTCCCACCTGTTACCCAACCGACATGGTGCTATAACGCAGGGAGTGAGCCCACATGGGAACCCTGCATTGTTTTGAGCATGACCAGTCCCAGACACTAAGGTCTTGTCTGCAAGCTCCCCTTAAGGCCTGTGTACAAGAGAGGGCCCAAGCTTCCCGATTCCAGGCAAGGTCACTCATTTCTGTCGAGGCCAATTGTTGGAATCATCTTGTCTGGCTTCTCCCCTGGAAGCAATTTGCCTCAAAGGACCCTACCAGGTGTTACCTGCCCCTGACTCCACAGCTCCTAGGGTCACACAAACCCCTTCACCAACAGAAGGTGGCAATTTATGGAGAAAGGTTCTGGAAAATTATCCTAAACTGCGGTCCACCTGTCTGGAAAAAACAACGTATTGCCTATAAAGTAGACGTACAATATGTCGTGGAATTGTGTTTCTATATTGAAACGTTAATTACGACTTTGCATTCACTTTAATGTTAAGCTCTCTGATATTTTCAATATGGTGGCTGATTGATATGTTATGTATGGGATGTTTCCTACGCCTCCACAAGACCAGGGTGTGAACAGTCTCTGAGATGATATAAGGGACAGATGAACAGACCAGAGTGACACCTAATAGATCAGGTCTTTATGACCCCAGTTTAGAGATGAGAAGGAGACCTGCTGCGGCCAGAAGTCCCTCTCTCTCAGGCCTGCAGCTCTGACCTCCACAGGGGAGCGTGTCATTAGGGCCCATATAAACTTTTGAAGTCGTGAGTCCAAGGAAAGGCCTGGTATGTAAGGCAATAAATTGTGACTTTAAAATCAAACATGAAAAGTGCAAGACCCCTGACACAGAGGACTAGGCAGTTATGTTTTCTGTTTTCTTCCCCTTGGATGGATACCTGCCAGACATAACATATTGCTTCTCACTATTACACTCATGCAAGACACTCATAATAATGAGAACTAAAGGGCTTCTTTGAAGTTTTTTACTTTCTTGAGTCAATAAATCCTGAAAAATGATTCCGTGCAGCTAAATAAACCCGCTAATTAATTGTGACATTTGAAATGATAGGGAAGAAATTCTTTGAAGCTTCATAATCAAGGCAAACATCCAACTTTAAAGCTTAATGTGAGTCATCATAATATCTGTAGCAAGCACAGCACAAACCTATTTAAGCGCAGGGTGTAGAGAGAAGAGAGTCTGTAGTAACTTCTGTAAGGGTGAGCGTGCATGTAAATGTTAAAGTATTTCGGAGTGCATACCAAAGAGAGTCTGCTATTCCAAGAGTGTATAGCTCCCTCTCATGTCCGGTGGGTGAGTGACAGCGAAAGGCAGGCAGAGGGTGTTTCCCCATTGCATCTGGGCCAGGGACAGCTGACTGGTTGGGATCTAATTGCTCTCAAGTGAGGTCAGCAGGAGGAATTTATCTAAGCAGTGTGCACAGCGACAGTGGAAGATGCACAGAGTCAGCCAGCCAGAATCAGGGAGACATCCATGGGAATTGACAGAAGCTACCAGCTCTTGCTTAGCTTTACTGCATAACTGGGATTGGTTTACAACTGAGGCTACAGCTTTTAGAACGACAGAGTCTTCAAATTAAAACTCTCTCTGAAAGGAAACAAAACCTCTGACAACTCCTGTCATCACCCAGAGCACATGTAAGTCATTGAACTACGGTTTGTTTTTGTTTTGTTTTTATAAGTAAAGCTGCATAGTTTGTTTGTTTGAACGTATGTATGCTGGTACAGATGATATTACAGAGCATAGACTTGTGAAGCAATCCAACGGCAATCATTCAGTATTTCACTGTTCAGGGTCCATGACAGGGAGACATATGCTTGTCAAAGTACAACACAGAAACTGTACAAAACATATTTGTATGAACACAGAAAACAAGAAGTTTTTTGAAAGAATTTTAAAAAGTTAGGCGATCTCTACTGTAGAACTAGGTGAATCCAAGTAATCATTTTATCAGTTTTTAAAACTGCTTTAACGAAAATCTTTCAACTTGTAAGTCTACCTGTGAGTCTATTTTTTCCAAATGCATCAGCGACAATCAAACCGGTCTACTTTTTTCTTTTATAGTGACATCCTGCATAACATTTAATGAACTGGATTATGATGTCCCTTGTCAGACTATGGTCTCAAGAGGATGGAGCAGCCAACGCAGACCGTCGCTGAGGACTAAAGAGAGTCATCATCTCCTAATATTATCACAGGTCTTTTTCAGACCGCTCTTCAGCTTCAGCCAACCCCAACCAGCTTCACAAAGTCTCCTCTACAACCACCCAACAGGCTCAACAGTCCCACTAGGAATACCTGCTGTGAGAACAGGGACCCGGAGGTCACAACACAAGTGTTACAAGTCAGGGATCAGAGGGTCGCTGGGCTGAGGGAGAGCACACAGATCTCACATTTAAGTATGTTGTTCATTGATCCCCACTGCATTGTATTATAATGCGCAAATGGATGCTGACATGGAACCTTCAAAATCTGTTCTCGGGACTGTACCTCCATGCAATCTTCTTGTTCGGCAGTGTGTGTGTGGTCTACAGTGACTGCACGCCAGAGCAACTTGCCGCCATCATGAACTGCTCCAAACACGAGCGCCACACCAGGAACTACGACTATATGGAGGGAGGAGATGTGCGCATCCGACAGCTGTTCAGCCGCACGCAGTGGTTCCTAACAATTGATGACTTTGGCAACATCACTGGGACTCAAGATCCCACCAACTGCAACAGTAAGGATGACTCCTTTTGTCTAATTTCAACACCAGTGGTTCACTAGGAGTTCCTCTGCATTAATCAGTGATTAAAAAAAACACCACTTATTTGCCAAAATATATTTTCCAAATGTCAGTTAACTCGAATGTGGGTGTGAACTAAGTCCTAGAATTTGAAATGTTATGATTCATGCAGAGTTTAGTAGTGAGATCTTTCCACTGAGTCAGTGACGAACCTTTGGCGTCAAGGTAAGAGAAACACGTGGGAGGTGTTATTGTACAGAGGTCTCCACAGTGTAATCACAGTGTTAATGAGTCACGTGTCTCTGTTGGAGCAGCCAAAGTGACGGAGGTAAAGTGAAGCAGGTGGGGGCTTTGGCTTGTTCAACCATAACACCATCTAAACACAGGCTGTAATGAAGTAAACTGAACGGTCTTGGAGCCTGACGGGTGCCAGGCCCCCGAGAGCTCGCACTGACACTGCCACAGACTCACATTTGTTCAGCCTGATTTCTCTGCAAGAAACTTTTCAGTCAGAATGAAAACTTGGGACAAAGAATTGGTATGAATATTAGAAATGGAAAAATGTTAGCAACTGACACACAAAGACAGCCACCAAACTGTGCCTGGCCCACACTGTTCCACACAATCGAAAGCAGAAATTCTCAAATAAGGCATGCCAGCTCACTACCGAATGTCTACTTTTATTTGATTGCCATGGTCAATTTAATTCAACACATTAAATTGTTAGAATTGTTGCTTTATAGAGCCAATGTTAACCACTGGAAATATCTGTCACGGTGAGGATGTTTTAAGTAGTTGTCATTTCCTCCTCTCTGACAGTGTGGCTGTGGCTGGAATGTTGGCTTGACGGGGAAATGCCTCAAAGTCGATGGAAAAGATGCTTGTGCAACCATTGGCAACATAAGACAGAAAAAAAATTATACGCCCATATGTGGCTGACAGTCGCACGCTAAAAGCACAGAGCAATCATACCAATAAGCCTTTGAAGAGACCTGTTGAAAGACATTTATGTAATAAATCACTGAGTCATACTTTTTGGCTGCAGTGAACAAGACGTCCTGAAATGCTGATTGCATGACAGGCTTTTTTCTTCAACTTTCTTTTTTTTACAAAAAGACAAAGCAAAAAAAGATTTTTTTCAACTTTACTATGTTGCAAAGGTCTAGACGTCTGCAATGTGGAATTTTTTATCTCTTGGAAGCTTTTTGTATCTGCAATATAGAGAACTGAAATGTGTAACGCTGATATTAGTTTTTCTGTAGACATTTTTCTTAAAATACTAATAACCTGTGTGTTCTGGTTAAGGATATTGCAACAGTTCCCATGACAATTTTGTTCCAAATGTGTAAACAAATCCTCGAAGGCAAACAAACACATGTTGCGTATAAGATAACAGATAGATTTACAAACAAAATAGTAAATGGTGATTACTAACACATGTTAGTAATTCGTGTCTAAGTGAAGGGCTATGGCATTGCTTAAAAGTTGAGTTTAGCAAAAACTGTGAAGCGGTCATAATTTCATTAATTCTCATTAATCGCTAAATCCTTACTCGCAAATGTAAACAATGGATTCAGAGAAAGCATGCAGGATTAGGGATTACCCACAAATGAGTTTACTCAGCCAGAGGCTGGACCAGCGAGTGATGACAAATCTCTTCAAGCTGAGGATAGCCTGTCTGTGTCAGAGCCAAAATGTTAACAATATGTGTGCATGTGTGTGGAAATGTGTTCCATCTCTCCACAGTAGACCAAAGAACTGTAGCGGTTGCATGTAATATTATGGGAATGGCACTACCATGCTTCTCAACAACGATAAAAACATCTACAGTTCCAACCAATATAACTTAATTGAGTTACACGGTCAACTGACATTCAATGTACAGAGAGTTTATAAATGAAGACGGGATTCTAACTGTTGAACTTCACTTTAAATCATGAAAAATAAAACCAAACAGGAAAATAGAAAAGCATGAATAAATAAACAAATATGATGGCAAAGGGCAGTAAAATATAAAGTAAAATATCAAGTGCAAGAAGAACACAAACTTCATTCCAAGATTGGGACACTGCCATCTGTTTGTTTGCCATTTAGCAAACACTAAAATGCAGCGTGCTCAATGTCAGTCTGAAGAGTTTAATTACACAAGTGTTTTTACTCACCCTCAGATTTGAGGAGCGGGCCTAAAATGTAGCGTGCAAAGCTCATGCAAGGAGATAGTTTTCTCAATCCCAGGAGAGAGAGGCCTAATCTGTCTACCATATGTGCTATGGCATAGGTTGTGGTTTGTGTAATGGCCACCCAGGCCAGTTAACAAGGCTTGAATAAAGCCAGAGAGACCACAAACTGACAGGAACTTCCATCCAGTTTGTTAATGAAGATGAATGTTGAATATGCAGTGTGGAGTTGGAGTGAAGGCTGGATGTTGGTAGTGTCTTATCTGTCCTGTAATATGTCTCATTTTCCTAACCGTGTGAACGTCTGGCAGGTATCCTGGAGATCAGGACAGTGTCTGAGGGGGGCGTACTGGCTATCAAAGGTGTGAAGAGCCAGCATTATATCTCTATGACGAAGGCTGGACAGCTGCAAGGCAAGGTAATATTTTTCATCAGTGAAAAAAGTCGTACACTGTTTTCAGATGATCTACAGTCAAGCAGAAATAGAACTATTGCAAAACGTGCGTTAGAAATAAGAACTGACAATAAGGACAAATGCTGGCAACAGCCGATTGTGTTGTATTAATGCTGTAATGTCTGTCTGATCCTTAACAGAGGATCTACAATGAAAACTGCAACTTCAAGGAGGTTTTCCTAGAAAACTATTTCAATGCTTACTCCTCTGCCAAGTGGACTAAAAATGGCAAAGCAATGTTCATAGCTCTGTCTCAGAAGGGAAGGCCGATGCGAGGGAGGAAGACCAGGAGGGAGCACATAGCATCTCACTTCATCCCTATGAAGTGCAAGGAGGAAGAGAGGAGGGTGGACTGAAAACGCAGAGGACTAATGAGTCACAAATTGTGTATGATTTCAATCACATATTATATATGTTAACATACACTAAACTCATTACCAACATCACGCTCCACTCCATTAGTTCTGTAACGTTCCATAACAAGTTGTAATTTTCATAAGATAAAGCAACAGATATCAGATGGGCACATTCGACTATTCCAAACATCCTCAAACAAGATGTTGAGACAAGGAAATATTTGAAATAGCTTCAACTGGTACACAAACTTAAAAACCACTAAAGTCTACTCGGTGTTATTGTTATTTTGAGTTGAATATTATATTTCCTTATAAAACAGTTCAGTGTTTTCTTATAAAACAGTAAAATGTATTACACACAGTCAGGACTGTATCCTTTTCCAAAGATGATCTGCACCCAGCCAGATGACCAGACCTGCATGATCAACCGAAAGGTCCAGAATGGAGATGTGGCTTGACCAAGATGTGCTGAAGCAAGCTGGACTTGTCTTTCGTTTTTCTTTTTTTACTGGTACAAGTGCTCAGAGTACACAAATCAGAGGCACAATAAACCACAAAAGCATGTTCAGTAAAATTAGAGTATGTAGGACAATCTGTTAACCTGTTTCGATCTCTCTTTCCTTCCTGCGTTGAAGACCAGACTCTGGTCGAATGCATTGTAGCTGCTCACTGATTCCCTCTTCATTATCATGGTGTGATTTTGAAATGCTAAAATATTCTGCTGCTGTTGAAAAGATATCCCGAATAAAATACAAAGTGAACAACAAAATCAATGTGAATGCTATGCAATCTCTTTTCATCAGAGTTAATAACGCCGTACACCAATTGTTGCATTGTTCTACCTTTGGTTTCTAATGGGGGTATAAAGGACTCCATGACAGACTCACACAAACTATGTGTGAACTACGTCTATTGGTTAACACGTAAAACAATCAATTGCCTACTTTACACATCCAGTAGAAAGAGAGAAACACAGACACATTTTTTACGTCTTTTTTACATTTTTTGGAGAAATATCTGTCACTTCTTGACTTGCAAAATGTTCGAATCTCTATCAGCAAACCATTATTTCACACAAGACACCTGGCAATGTACAACACACGTCTGCGAGCAGAGAGCACTGTTGTTTTTTAGCAGATTTGGCAGTACAAGCAACAATTTCTCATTCTAGGAAGGCAATTGCTTCAATGTTTATGTGAAAAATATTGCTTCATGCAACTTTGGGAAGAAACTCTGCATATGAACCATGTCTTTATTCTGCCACGTATGACACTATGAAGCTGAGCGGTGAGCTCTGGACTGAGATGAAGAGAGAATTGTATTCTGCTGACACACTGTGATACAAATTCAACACACCCTCAATTACTCAATAAATCCAATTTGGGAAATAAACATGTTTTGTTTTTTCTTTTTACTATTTGCACGCAACCATTAATAAGAAAGAGAAATTTGTTATTCAGTCACAACTTTTTAAATGTGTGTAATCTCATGTGATTTGACCTTTTGGGTACATGATAAAACAGTATTATAATAAGTGCAAAATGTATGATCTGTTATTACTGTGATTTTGATCTAATAAGAAAATGACTGTTGGAGGATTAGTCCAAACCCAATCTTTGAATATCATTTGATGAAATTGGGGCTATTCGCTCTCTTAACTCTAATATTTACACAAACCTACAGAGAAAACGTATTACATATTAAAAAGAAATTACAGTTTTTCAAACTCTAATATAACTGCAGTCCTCTGGAGATACTAAGCTGTCAGATGATCAAATCTGTTGACACATTGGAAAGAAACGTTTGGGAAAACATTAGTATTGTTGGACAATTGTCGACACATGACATGTGTGAATAAGATTCCTCAATCTGATAGGGGAGGTTGAGATGTACAAATACAACTCGATGATAAATCTATTAATTTATGATGGAAGATAAAAATACATCAACTTGGTTCAAATGTCACGTTAAATCCCGCAGAGATTATATTGTATTGAGTATAAATGGAGTCTTGTCAGTGTAGAAAAATATCTCAGACATATTGGCAGGCTGTCTTCACCATACGTTAATAAACAAGCGTATAAACGTATAAAGCGCAGGCACACACACACACACACACACACACACACACATACCTACACGAGCTTTACCTTTTGCCTGAGTTCACATCTGGCTTGGAGAACCCCTGTTAGATAAAGACAGTCAAATTGAGAGAGCAAACCCCTGAAATACGTTTGACCCAAACAACATCTGAGCAAGGTGAAGGCGTCTGCCAAGTCACGCAAAGTTAGTCTTCAGCAGATAATTTGTACCATGCTCAAAATGTAAACACATTTCAGACTCAAGGCTATATTCCCAGCAGGACGAGGAGAGGCTGAAGCCAAGGAGAATGAGAGAGAATGAGAGAGAACTGGACGTGAAGCAACAGGCTTCCAGGAAAAAAGGTGCAACACAGGCACGCCAGACACAAATTATACTTGCAAGGTGTTCCAAGAAAATAAAACTGTTGTTTAATAAATTGCTCCTGAAATAACAAATACTTTTAATACTTTTTTTTTTGCGGGATTCCCTTGCACTTTTCTTCATCTGCTGTGCATTAGTTACCAAATCATGAAACCAGCTGTACTCTTTCCAGCAACGGAATAGTTTCTTTACAGTAAAATAAAACATTGCCTTGTAATGTCGTCACGTATGCCAGTAGATTGTTTAAACGGCATGTCTAAATATTATTATTTTTTATTATTAATAATTACAAAATGGTAATTGATTTAGAGATGCAAGGATGACTTGGGGTCAATTGTATTGGTTAGTTATAATCTATACTATCTGATAGCACATAAATAGTTACAGTGGTCAGCTGTAACTGATAATTTGCTGAAGTACAAAGTCTAATATTAGTTTAGAGTACTGTTATTGTTTACATGTCTATACTTCTTAATTTCTGTCGCTCAAAAAAGCAGCTAAAGAGCTACTGTGCAGTTTGATGGACCTCCTGGGATGAATAGTGACTCTATGACATTGATTTACTATTCATTGCAATGCTTTAAAACCGCAGTATTATATTTGCATTTGTGTGGAAGCATGAACACAGAAAACCGCATGTATTATAAACAGCATGCGTAGTTAAGGGCAACGTCTACGGGGAAGTCTGAAACTGGCTGTGAACAGCATTGAACCGGAGGATGGGGTGAGACAAACCGAGTATGAAGAAGTGAGGCAAGTGAAGATAAACAGGGAGAGAGGCTGGGGAGTCTTGTGCGATGTGAAGATGTGGTCTTGGGGCAGCGGGAGACAGGGGAGGCCATGAGGGGGAAGGGGAACACGCAACTGAACTTGATACATTTCTGGGCCTTCATTTCCTCAGAGGACATCTGTGGTTATGTAATGTGGGGGAATTCTGTGTTTGCAGCCCTTCGTAAGGAACCCGCCAGAACACCAGGTCCTTTTGAAAGAGGGTCGGGACCTACAGCAACTCACCGCAATATCACACTTTCTTTGAAAGAGAATTAAATGTACACAGAGAGATAATTAGATATGATTAAAAGAAGATGTTTATAATAACTTACAGCGACTAAGATTTGAAAGACTAATAACTTCATCCATCACCAAACTCAAGTAAGAAATTACAACTGGCCCTGTTGGCTTTCAAAGAGCATTTTAACTAAGGTACATTGGGAAACTAATGCGGACCACCAACATATTAAACCAATGCCCAATTACAACACTACAGGAGTAAATAATACTGTTTAACGGCCAAGATCCTACTTGATTAGTAGACCAAGACCAAGACCACAATTTCAAAGATGCACATTCTAAATGGGTGCAAATTTATCACCTGTTGCAGGTTGCAAAAGTCAGTTCCTGACAGATTGGACCCAAGTTATACCAATACAATTCCAGTGACATGCTACAGTGTCTCAGTACTCAGTGTCTAAGTTTTCAAACAATGACTTGTTAGAAATAGTTTTCGAGCCAAAGTTCACCAAACATCGGTGTAAACTAAACAAGTCTGACCATATTTGGAGTCGAAAAAGAGTATCCTCTTATGCTGTGGCTCACATGGCACGATTTTGTCTACTGTCAACACAGACAAGTCTTACAAAGAAACACTGGATAGACGCATCCAATAACCCATTTATGATTTTAAAAACTTTCTCGAACTCAGCAAAGTTCTGCTTTCAGTGTGTCAAAGCTCCACTTTGTACAGATGATCACATAGATTCTTTGTGGCGCATTATGTCAATACAGGTAGATTTTCCCAACATTACAAACAAAAACTGCTCCTGCTGCTAAAAACTTGACGTGTCGGGAGTTTAATGGTCAGCTAAGCCAAATTCTGTGGCCCCTCCTTAGCCATGACGAAAGATGTGTGATGCAGATGTATTGAGGCGCCAAGCCAAAAATCACACTTCCATCCAGCTACTGTATCTAGAAACAGAGCTGTAAAGTCCATCTAAAAGTGATCTGTTTTTATAATGCAAGCTTTATTGAAGATAATAACAATAACAAGAGTAATTACACCTTTTTGTATCCTGACAAACTTAGTGGTCACGGTCTTAGATTTAATCTATTCGTAGAAATGCAATAGCAAGGATTTTGCCAGCAGATGTTCCAGTTATGACTGCATCAAATGCTCCAAAACAGTAAAGCATTTCAACCCAATTGCTTCATAGGGATTCAGTGCTTCAGAAAGAATCACTAATGAGAGGTCTTAAACACAGTATGCAGTAGTCCAGTCATATGACACATTGTCCACCAGCCTGAGAAGATACAAAAGACAAAGAGGCTATACAATTTTAAAACCGGTGCAAAATTAACATTGAGTGGTTTTGAGATCCTGGTAAATACTGATATTTTTATTAGGTTTCACAAATTGGTTCCACGTTGGTTTGTGTGGCTAATGTTGGCTACTTAGCTTTCGTATCTGTTCAACAAATATATTGCAAATCCACAAGAGTACTGAAGTTTTTCATTTTGAGGCTCCCTCTGTCTTTCAGATGCTAAGAAAGTAAACCAAGTACACAATGTTCAGCAGGTATTTCGGTGCATAATTCCTTGCAAATAAACTGTTTTGAATACTTAAAATCTCTGACACGTTTGCATCAAAAGAGGAGTGCTAGCATTAGTTAGTAATTTTACTTTACCTTGCTACTACATTATATTGCTCGGAACTACATTCTACTGAATGAATAGTCCCAATGAAAACTACAGCAGGGTCAGTGGATTATTCAGAGAAACAGGCACCCTATTATTGGAAAGACTTGCGGTTCAGCGTTTTGATCAGCACAAAGAAACTTCTCTTTTGTGGTTTTTTCAGAGGTATTAAATAAGTTAGGTAAATTAAATAAACTAAGGGTGGTGTGCATTACAAGACCACTGTATCATTTATGATGAAAGATTTTGACTTAGGCATGTTGGATTATCAATTTGCTTTCACAAATATAGTTTGGATGCTTAGCAGCTTTCCAACTTGGCTCAATGTTCTTTCAAGCAATATCACTCTGGGACAGACAGACAACATGAATGCACATTAACACACATGCACTTGTAGGAACACATGCAAGTGCAAAAAACACTGAGTAAAAAGCTTACCATGAGCAGGATTCCTGTCTTTTTATTACTCTCCAGCTGCTGTACGAGGCATCTTAAGTTTCTGTTCGGAGTTCGTACCTGAAAAGCACACCTTGCAACAGTTCAAAACTCACGCTATGTCAAATATGGAGAGTCTGTCAGTCTGAGAAGCATTGCAGGTGTGTGTCATCAGTGCATGGTTACCTGAGAAAGGCAAGAAAACCAAAAGGTCAGTCCAGTCATCTACTTACCCTTTACAATACAGGGAATGCTCATTAAAATGCAAAGTTGGCTGCTTGGGCCGAGCAGCTTGGATACACCTTCAAGACCATATTTCAACTATTTTAATTTATATTTCTCAGACTACATTTAAAATGGCAGCAACATAGAATACAGAGGAAAATAAAGTATCACTAACAGTTTTCTTTGAATTTTAACTGGACTGCTGTCAACAGTAAAACAAACATTGCTGATATGCAGCTCTCAGTTTGTTTTTTCATTCCTCTGTGTTAGACTAAACAGAAAAAGAAGTGAATTTAAATGATAAAACATGTCAGGAACAGCCAATCCATTCATATTTGGTGCAGGCGGGTGGATCTCAACCTTGATATTGTTATGTCTAAATTTTCACAACTTAATGCCAAAGGCAACACAGATCATTAAGACCAAAAGACAGTGCAGGGCATAATCCTGTCTATGGAAACTATAGCTGTACAGTTATAACATTCTAAGTTTTAGAGAGAAGAATCACCTTGAACATGTGGAGGAAGAACCACCAAATGATGTCTGTATAACTATGACAAACAGGCTCCTACAATAGATCCTGAACAACAGGTAAGCATGGTGTGTGAACAATATGACTAATATTGCTGGTCAGAATATTTGCTTCAAATATTGATAAACTATATTTCACTGCAATGATTTTCAAAGCAACCTGGCACACAGTACACATTTGGCAGACTTTTGATAGTTTGGAATCCAACACTGGACACTGGAAAATCTCATTTGATAGACATCCGTTTGCTATGCAAGTCTGCATGCGATTGCCTGTTTCGTAAAAATGTGTGACAGCTCAGGTATCTGTGAAATTTGACATAAAACAATCGGTTTTACCTCACATCAAGCACATCTGGCTTAGAATAAGACAAATGCATATTCATAAATAGTTTTCCCTGAATTAACCCCTTAAGTTTCGATCAGCCACATTGGGGAAACATCACCTGTGAAACCTGAATTTTGCTAATGCGACATGACTTTAAAGAGTACCAGCTTTGATTCGTCTAGAGAATGACCGGTTGCAGAGCATCCAAAAAAATACCATTGCAGTGTGAAAACACACCATAATTAGACTGAATTACCATTACCCTTTCATTTGACTTCTATAGTCACTTTCATTCATATTACACATACATGCCCTGAGATAACTTCTGTAATGATTTGGTGCTATAGAGATGACATTTAATTTAATTAACTTAAAATGAAAGATTGGGATGCCCAGAAAGTCTGTTATTCTCAACTCAAGCAAATAATGGACAGTTGTAGCTCAGGGGAAGATTGTCAGATGTTTTGGGACTTTTGTGTGCTGTTTTATGACTTTTAATGTACATGTTCATCAACAAACATAACTAGATTAAACAATATCACTAACGGTTCATATGCAGATGTTTGCTGTGGGAAGGGGAGGATGTTTTGAAACAAATTAAGTAGAAATGCAGAATGGGTTGCACAAATGGACAAAGTCCAGAGCAAAAGCTCTTTGAATAGTTCACAAAAAGGACACGTTTCAATGGTTTTAAGTGGGCCTATTAATTATATGTTTATATATTAAAAACAAAACACTTAAAATTTGTAAGCTGAGGTAATTTACAACTTTTTATTTCGAATTATTTGAAAATAATCACTTTTAATGTAGTACAATCTAGGCTAGCTGTACAAATATTGTCGTTGGACAACAAAGTGTATTAACTGTTGATTTATTTTAATATGAATATATTTAAATTTTTTTTAGCATGATTATTGGGGTTCATTATCATGAAAGTCCAAAATCAGAGCTTACGTTGATAACATGTGAATGCATTAATATTATTCATTAATAAACCATAGTACTATTTCCTCTACACGGAACTGTATTTCCGGTAGAGAAGAAGAAGTACACGGAGCACGGAACTGTACTTCCGGTGTAGAAGAAGAAGTTTACGGAACACGGAGCTGTACTTCCGGTGTAGATAAAGACGTTCACGCGGATCTACACACGTTTTTTATTGCGATTGAGTAACGTTAGCAAATGGAAAAGGGTATAGCTTGCAACTCAACTACACCAACGTCTGCTTTATTTTGGTATTAGCTAACGTAAGTAACCACTATGTCCCGTGTCTGCCACTAGCCTCATAGCTACAGATGTTGTTGAGCTTGCTAACAGAAGCTAGCTTCACTAGCATGAATCAGATCATGTTTACGTTACTCTAGCTGTGAACGTAAGCTAACAGCGTGTACACTGGGGCACATGTAGCGCACAGTAGTCTGCTGTCAGATTTTACTGAGCCAAAGAGAAGAGGAAATACATAAGAATTCAATGTTAACTGCATGTTGTGCTTTCAAATGCAAATAACTGAATATGTAACGCTAGTTACATGTGGTTAGCTCACTTTACATTCATTCTCTAGCTATGTATATGTGTGTGTGTGTGTGTGTGTGTGTGTGTGTGTATGTATGTATGTATGTATGTATATGTATATATATGTGTGTATATATATGTATGTATATATATATGTGTATATATATATATATATGTGTATGTATAGCTAATATATCAGAATGTGTATATTAATGATAATAATAACGACGTTCAAACCAGGAAAAATAAGAAAAGCTAAGTAAACTATACAGATGAAAATCAAGTTATACAAATAAAATAAGCAAAAGGGACAAATATAATTCATACGTGATCTACATTTACACGTATTAGCCAGTTTAAATGAAATTCGAAGATGGCCTCCTTGAAAGCATTCAAGTTAAATCATATATTGCAACAAAATTCCTCGACATGATCCAGTCTCATCACACTACTTATGTTGTATTAATAAACCAAATATCTCCCAATTAAATTCAACTTGAGAAACGACTCATGTATGACCTTTTTAATAACAACCTCTATCTCTATATTGCGCCCCTCACTTTTAACGTTTCGTAAATGTTGGATTGCTTCTGTCTACCAATATTTGCAATCGTTTGTTTTGTCATTCTTCTTCAGCTATGAACGGAGGGCCCACATACTTCCGCACTGGTCTGTCAACATTTAACGGGCAAGCATGAGCAGCCTGGATCAGGACCAGCATCTCCATCCTAGTTGCCGTAACAAAACAACAGTCTCTAGTGACTCATCGGACACTCCTAAGGTTGCCAAGCTGCCTCTCCAAGGTCTAAAATTGGCATCGCATGCGGTGCTGGAGAAGGCGCAGGAGAGGGGCAGGTTGAAATGCTCTAAATGTGGAGGATCAAGGATGTTCTTCTGCTATACATGCTGCTCATTACTGGGTGTCAACCTGCAAGAAATCCCCGTAATCAAGGTCAGTAAGAAGTCAGGACTCTCTTGATTGTTTAATAGAGGCCTTCAGCTACAGTATGGAGGAGCTGTGATAGTAGTATCCTCATGTGGAAAAGTCATGTCTTTTATGTAAGATTTAAGATATTTTGCACACTGGACATGACTCTACATATTGTATGTTGTGCTCAGCTGCCAGTGAAGATAGACATCATCAAGCATCCTAATGAGACGGATGGAAAGAGCACCGCAGTCCATGCCAAGATCCTCGCACCCAGTGATGTCACCATATACACTTACCCCTGCATACCGGACTATAAAAAGGAAAAGGTTAGTTGATTTCCATGTTGAAAGAGTGGAGTTTATTTTACACCTTTGAGTGTCATTGTGCAGCTGTACCCTTTAAGGTGGCAACTAACAATTATTTTCATTATCAATTAATCTGCCCATTATTTTTGAAGATAAATTGTTTGGTCTGTACAATTGAAAGAGACTTAAGAAATAATGAAAACTGCCCGTTACAAATTTTAAAAGCCAAAGGTCGGATAAAAGACATTACGTGTCCAAAACCCAAAGATATTCAATTTACTTTTAACACAAAGAAAAGCAGTGATTCATCATCATTAAAATGATTAAAGTTGGATTTTTCTGTTTGAAATTGAAAAGTTGAATTAATGATCAAAATAGTTGCAGATTATTTGCTTTTGAGTGATGTTTTGAAGCTGTTACTATCCACTAAATTCACATTATTGAAGTAAATGCCCAGTGTTGTGCCTGATGTACTCCTGTATTAGTTGTAGTATAACTCATTTTAGATTTTTATCCATATTGTATAAAACGTTACGATGAAAAAATGTGGAATTTATAATAGATTCAGAAGGTCGAGTAACTTGCTGGCTGCATTTTCTTATTTCATGCTTGGCAAGTTGCATAGTACAAATTATATTAAACATAATCGGATACTGTAATTTGACTTGACGTTAACAATTATGGTGGCTAAAGTGCACAAGCCTCATATGCTTATTGTATTTGACAGTTTCCAACTTTGATTTTTTTTGGCTTTCTCAACTATTTTACTCAGTTGAATGATCTCATGCTCAACCTTATTTTGCTCCTTTGAAACTGCACTACTCTATTTCAGTGCTTCCTAATTAAAGCATAAATCACCACATTGTAGAAATGTTTTTTGTACTTTAGTCTTGGGTTGTGTGATGGTGTTCCACTCTGAACCCGTGTTGTCTCTCTGCTTTCTCCAGGTGGTGTTGGTGTTCCCCGGTCCAGATGCTGTCTCGGTTCAAGACATGATGCAGTGTTTGAAGGACTTGACAGACAGCAGGTCACATGGTGCCTCTTATGAACCCCGCATAAAGAGGCTGAAAACTGAGGAAGTTCAAGGCCCCACACACACTGCAGAGAAGCCACAGTCGAGCCCAGATGAAGCAAAGAACTTGGAGTCAAGGATGTATCCCCTACAGAGGGTGGTCTTCATTGACAGCACATGGAACCAGACCAACAAGATCAGCACAGATGAAAGACTGCAAGGTATTCGTGAAAGAATGCATTTGTGCAGAGTTTCAACGAGCTCTGACTGCTGGTGATTATTAGGGGCAAATTTACTTCACCCACACCGCTGTTTAAGATGATTTCACGCTTTGTTCTCGAGCGCTCTCTGACTGATGTGTGTTCTCCTCCAGATCTGCTCCGGGTGGAGTTGAAGACGAGGAAAACGTGTTTCTGGCGAAGTCAGAAGGGCAAACCAGACACCTACCTAGCTACTATCGAAGCTATTTATTATTTCCTCATGGACTTCAGCGAGCATTGCCTTGCTCAGGAGTACAATGGAGAATATGACAACCTTCTCTTCTTCTACACCTTCCTGCACTCAGTTGTCAACAAAGCAAAGACTTCTGCTGGAAAGTGCTGAGGAATACTTCAAGGAAAAACTCCCATCAGCTCCAAAAGATTTATGAACTGTAGCTGAGGAGTAGATTCACATGCCAACCCTTTTATGATTTTGATGAGTTTTATTTTATGGCTGTGTGATATTTTGTATGAGATACTATTTGGATAAGAATATGCAATAAAGCGCAAGGTTTACAATTGCCCAACATGATAGAGGTTTGTTTGGCATACAAATATAAGACACACATCACACAGCTGCAGCAAACTGGATGACAGCAATAGTAATCTCAGAAAATCATCTGCAAAGTGACAAACAGTTAATTCTAAAAATCACAAAGGGAAATAGTATCAACTTGGTCTTTAATTCAAAATGTTGAAAATGAGCATGTTTGACATTTTGGTGTGAGACCTAATGCTCCTCCCACTTTAATTCATGCAGGTTGCAGTGAGTGATTTAAATCTTTGACTATAAAATGTAATAATGAACAAGGAAACGGACCTCAGATGTGTTTCAATATTTTTATTTACAAATCAGTACACGTTTGAGTTACTAATGTCTCCTATTTTCAAAAAAAAAAAATCAACTTGTAGTAGAAACACATTTCTTCCAGACCCGATAAATATGTTCTCCAAAAATATATATCCTGAAAGCTAATGCTGGGTATTTGTCTACTTGAGAACTACTGTCCATGATGGTGAACCATTGAGGGGCCACTAGTAGAAGGTCTCTCTGATCTTGGCTTGCAGGCTGTCGCATGTCTTCTTGGCATCTCCCAGCAACATGGATGTGTTGGGCTTGTAGAAGATGGGGTTATCTACTGCAGCATAGCCCACACCCAATGTGCGCTTCATCACTATCACCTGGAGTAGAGTTTAAATAAGTATATATAGTCACTGTACCACTCTGATACAAATATAGGGATATTGTTGTTGCAGCAATACTTATCAACGGTAGTTTAAATGGTAGACCAACCTGTTTGGACTTCCACACCTCCAGAACAGGCATGCCAGCGATTATGGAGTTGGGATCCTCTTGTGCTGCAGAATTCACAGTGTCGTTGGCTCCGATCACCAGTGTCAAGTCCGTCTCTGTGGGCCACAGATGTTTACACATTTATACACAACGCAGACAAAACCGTTGGCGAAATGCCATGCAATTGTCCTCACTGGTGTCATTGGGTTCCCCCCAGCACCACACATATTTCCCTCTGTCATAAACAGAACCATGTGTCTCAGTAAGCTCGCCCAGTTGCTAAGAAAACAAAAACTGTTGCCCTGATAAAAAATGGCATGTCTAAATATCAAGACAACACGAGGCTGCTCCAAGTGCGTATGAAACGGGGGATGAGATTATTACACATAACTGATTTAGTACTATTACCGGACACCTTCCTGACAAAGTGACAACCATGTAGTAAACATTTCAACAGCTTTCTTCAGATACAAAACAAAAGAGTTAACCTGGGAAGTCATCATTGATCTCGTCCATCTCCAGGACCACGTCGTAGGGAACACCAGCCTCAGCCAAGAGGACATTCAGCTGGCCGGGCATACGACCGGCCACTGGGTGGATACCAAACCTGTTGAAGAAAAAAACTGTTACTGCTCATCAACACACCTTGATTTGCATTGAAAGCTCACTACTCCCTGCTCCTGTGGAAGCACAAGTAAAAATGCACCTGTCTCTTTCTAAACAAATTCAGAATATATTATATATTCAGTTGTGGAGAATTAAGATATTTCCTGAAGAAAAAGTAGCAACATTAAAATGTAATAATACTCCGTTACAAAGCAAAACATTCTGCAATTTAAAATCACATTTAAGCAAGAGTATTGAAAGTAAAAGTACTCTTTACGCAGCAGAATGTCTCCCCTCAGTGATATATTTTATATTATGCATTCACAAGTAAGTGAGCAGCATTTTCATGTTGTAGATGTGAAGATGAAGCAGTTACTATTAACTACTTCATGCAGTATATTGTTGTGTTGTTTGACCTTTAACATGTTCACATGTTGAGTTAATATAATAGTCACATAAAGGGAGTAGAAAGCACAATGTTTTCATCTGAAAAGTAGTGGTGTAACAGTATAAAGTAGTGTAAACTAAAAAGAATCAAGTTAAATTTAACTCAAGTACAGTGCTTGAGTAAATGTACTTCTGTCTCTTCTTTACGTCCGTACTGTCCAGTACATATTAAAAAGTACTTTGCAGTTTCCAGCTTTGCTGTCAGGAGAAAATAAAAATCTTTCTCCCTAATCAGGTGTTGGAAAGGAGTTGTTTTTGGGGTTAGACTCTCGAAGATGTTCAAGTCACTTTACTACTGAAGGAGATCACACAATTGTGATTGAGTCTTTGGCCCACTGAGGAAAGTATTGCAGTATTTATATATTTACAGTCTCCGTGGCAACATTACTGGAAAAACATGCTGTATTTCAGTTTTTCTAAAAACTGTGCACATATTTGAAGCTCATGTATCAGCAACAAGACTCCAGACTCCCACACTCTAAGCACAATTACATTATTTTCACTCAAATAGAAAAATCAACCTGGACTGAAATCTCAAGGATTTTCACTTTAAAATACAAAAAATGTTCAAAATAAAAAAATTCTATCCCACTGAGAAAAGAAGCAGCAGTCATCTTTTTAATGAAGTAAATGCAGAGCACAGATATTCACCTGACACTCTTGCCCTGTTCCTTCAGCATCTTCACCATGTCTGCAATCGGGTACTGCGCTTTTGCTGCACACAGACCCCAACCTAAACACAAACACATACAGAGAATAAACATGCAGTAGCTTAAAAAAATGCCTAAATCTAAATCTTAGGATATGATCAGTCTATTATCCAATTGTCTTATTCTTATTTTGTTTGTGGTCCTATTGGATTAAGCGAGCATTTGACACTGATAGTTTATTTTTTAAATGAAAGCACAGCAATCCAGCAGGGTTCGATAACAATAAAACCAGTGATTCCACAACCCTTCATATTGTCTTTTGTCCTCCTCTCACTGTCCTCATTCACCACAAGTCTCTCTGTAATAAATCATAGTGGTTCACTGGTTTAAGAGACATTTTTCTTCTGAAACCTTTCGCATGTGTGGTGTGCGTTTGGGTATCCTGCGTGCAAAGAGCTCCTTTCCCTGTCTGCCTAACCCCTATTTCACCCTGGTGGTCAGGTACCTTGTAGAGTTTAGCATTGACCCTGGTCGAGTTTTTTGAAGCCAGTCACCCGTAACCCGTATCTTCTAATTCCCCAGACAACCGGAGCCTTCTGTTTCCTCGCTGCCGTGCTTTGTTGTTGACAGCGCATGGAGAAATCTTGAGTCTGGACTAAATAGCTCTTGTGACTTTTCACTGTTTCTCTAATCAAACCAGCATGTTGGACCACACAGCTGTCCTTGCGTTGGTTTCGAGCCACTGGAAAACAACAGCAATCCAAGTATCCAAGTAGCCTACTTCAGAGTGGTTCCTTTTGCTCGGGCCACTCAACAACTACTCAGTTGTCTGGCTTTATCTTTTAAACAAAATCAGGAAGTGGTTTCCATCTCACACTCAAAAATCAAATCCACCATGTGGAAGTGAGATAATGTGTGGGCAAACTGCTCCATCTTGTGGTTACCATGGCTTCAATTTTCTGAGTTTAATTAATTACTGCCATGTCAATGAGCCCAAGATCCGGACCATTTCCAAACGTTTTGCGAAAGCTTCTATCTTTTCCCGAGCTGCCGCGAAAATATTTTTTTGATCTTTGCAGAGCGGTCAGGCTCAGCCTTTTTTGTCAGGTGAAGCTCATCAGATGAGTGTGATCGTTGAAAAGCTGCAGCTGGAGTGCAGAAGAGGATCCGGGCTGTCCGGTGATGAGGGAATCTGACATTAAAGTTGTGCTCCACCTTAGTCTCTGATGTCAGCCCAAACACCTAATCCACACCTCTACCAAAGGCCTCTGGTCTTTAACAGTCTTTGTAACTGTACTTTATGTATGCATGGTTTAAAATGACCACAAAGATCTGATAGAATTAGTCTTTCGCTGACTAAAAAGGCAGACTTGCCACAATGGCAGATTACCTCATACGTGTTAACTACTGTGCAGTCTTTTTGACCACGAGCTATTCAAAATAAGTTCCGTCTGTTGAACCGGCTCCGCACAAAATGGCAGAGTTTAAATGTCTACAGAGTTTCGGTATTCCTCTGGATGGAAGCTTAAAAGGGGAACTCCGCCGTTGTACACACTAAATTCTGCTCACAACTCTGAGGGAATTCAAATGCAAATGGGTGTCTCCAGAGGGAGCTGTGTGAAATCTGTTAACAAGTGCCTCAAGTGACATCACTTGAGTCAGTGTCGGTTGGGTCTGATGACTATGAAAACAAAATTAATCTGTTGGTGTGGAGTTCGATAGAAGTGAGTTTACCTGACTTTTGTAGCCCGTTCGTCTCCTTTGCTTGAGACTCGAGGCTAAGTTAGTCGCTACTAGCATAAGACACCTGAACGTGTATATTCAAGGACTTAGGTAGAGTTGCATTGTGGGTAATGTAGATCTCTCTGAATTATCGTTTTTGATCTCTTTTTTTAAAGCTTAAACAGACATTTTGAGTCCAACAATGTTACAGGAATGCAATGCTAGATCTAGAGTACACTTTTAAAATTGCCAACGCTGTGACAGACAAAAGACACAAATAAATGTTAAAGTAAACCTCGGCCACTTTGTTTACTGTTTTATACAGCAGCTGTTTCCACGTGGCAAATAATAAAAATGCCCTCAGCAACATCATGAATCTATAAAAATGTATTGATTATTTTAGTGCGTAAAATAATAGTCGGTGAGATAATGTGTCACATCAGGCCACAAAGTTGGAAATTCCTTATAAATACCCAGTGGACTGACAAATGTCTTGCGTTGCATGTACAGTACAGTGTGTACCTGGTGTGATGATGATGCTGTTGGCTTCTTTGATTATGTCGATGGTCTGGTCCAAGTTGACCTCGGTGTGAGTGCCAACAATCTCCATTGGCTTACCGCCTGCTGTGGAGGTGGTCCCGAACCCACCCAGGATCACATTGGGCAGGGAACGGTTCATCGCCTTGGAGGAGAGGAGGACAATAACTCTGTCTCAGGTATATGTGCCGAGTACACCGTGGAAGTTCACACCTGTGACTGGATGGACGTGCGTCCACTCACCACACACATGATGTAGGAGAGGATGGCACCGGAGGAGCCAATCAGAGCTCCGACAATCGTCATCAGATTGTTGTCTAATAGGAAGCCTTCGGCACAGAGCGCCCATCCGGAGTAGCTGTTCAACACGGTGATGACCACGGGCATGTCAGCGCCACCAATGGCTGCTGTGAGGGTCACACCCTGTGGGGAGGTTGGAGAAGTTAAAACAAGAGTTATTTGAGTCACTTACGCAAATTAAAACCACCTTGTTTGAGATGCAGATAACATTTTACTCACTGGGTACACGGAGTACAAGTCACTTACTTGGTACCAGTAAAAATGTATTGTATCATTTAATCCATGTATTGAAAAGAGTGATTCTAGCTCACTCAAGACAGGAAAGAAATTACTTTTCAACAGTTTTTACTTGACGAAAAAGTTGCACATCTTCAATGTTCCTTTCCATTTATTCTTAATATGTTTTTTTTCAGCTTGTTGAATCGTTGAAACTCACCATAATAGTGGAAAGCCCAGACACTCCCACCAGACACCCCATGCCGGTACCGTAGCTCGAACTGAGCATAAACGGCACCATGCCTCCCATTGACGCTGCCATCAGACCGGCATTCAACATGTGTCGTCCCGGCAACAGCAGGGGGGCCGAGTTCAGGACGCCTACAACCAAAAACATTTTCCGACAAACATATTCAGAGAAGCCAGAAATTATTTTCACTCTTCTCGTGGGGCTGAAAGGGGAATCATTTGACAAGATAAAACACGTAAACACACTTTTCTCTCGAGCAGTGTCGAGCGTCTTTGAACGGTCAGGACTTCCCCGTGGAGGCCTCTAATCAGCCATCCAAGAGTCTGTCCCCATCCACAAACCACAGCCATGCAGCCACTGCCCATAACAAATTACTAGAAAGCTTCTCATATGTTCCTCTTGATCAGTCGCACTGCAATGCAAATTAGTGACTGCTGACACATGCACACAAC